TAGGTACTACTATTATTATTGAACTTTTACACAATTACAAACTTTTCAACTATGAATAATTTTATTATAAAGTAGACATCAATTTTATATTTTCAGTATGTATTGAATAAATATTTAACTATCAATGGAGAGGATTGCCATTTTTCTAAATTAATTAGATAATGTATTATTGCGATGAGAAAATAAATTTTGATTCTATCGATGAGAAGATTGTAAACTTTATTTCAATCGAAATAAACCAGATTTATCTACGATATATTGAAAACAAAAATAAAACGAAACGTTTACTTCATTTTTATGTTCCAAGTTAAGATTTTATTGATACTGAAAACTATATTTGAAATCTTTATATGAATGTTTTGAATAATTCTATTTGTAAAAAGTTTAAATTTATTTTTATTATTTATAAGAGCTTTCTTCGTTAAAAGCTATGAATCAAACATTTATGTGGTAAATAGCTATATGAATAACTTTATTTATAAATTATATTTGAAAAATAAATAAACAAAATAAATATATGATACAAAATATTGAGACAGAAATAAATGCATCTGTTTCAGTTGAACAATCTCAACTTAAAATATAAGACTAATTGTTTAGAAATTTAAGAAGTTTATATATTGGACTTTTGATTAATTTATGATTCGGTAATTCCATCCAAGAAAATATTATCTTAAAAATTACTACACAAAATAGTTTTATCTGTTCGGCAAAAACTATTCACCTTTCTAATATTAAAAATCAGAATATTGTTTTATGTAGTTTCACAATGCTATTTAAAATCGGCATATTATTTATTTTCTTAACATATACTTAATATTTTTGTTATATTATTTTAAATATATAAACAAAATCAATTCAAAGTATTAAAAAAACTTGGTATTAAAAACCAACAATGAACCTCATCCAAAACTGATATGTATAACTTTGATACAACTAGATCGATAATTGTTTTTTAATTAATCGAAAGGGTTTTATACTCGGTCTTCCAATCACTGACTTGACTTTTTGAGTATATACCAAAAATTCGCTGTTATTCCATATGAAAAAGTTGCAGATTCAAAAAAATCAAAGATTTTTCCATAAAGACGTAAGATGTCTATTATCGAGTTATTAATTTATATTAAAAAAAAAATGGTGAAAAATGACAATGTTTCGCTAAAAATCTTGAATTGAATTTGAATATTTAAAATGTTCTAAAAATATCAGTTGGAAATCTTGCTGATTATTTTTGGTAAAGATTGGATGAGTGATTTCTTCGTAATTACCACTCTTTTAAAAAAAATGGTTTAATTATAAACAGATTTATTAAGACTTAGAATGATGTATCCTTACCTCATATTCTTTATTTATTCATTTAACTTCAAACGGTTTATATAAATTGATTTTAATTTAAATTGAAACTTTGTGTGATAAATTGCAGATAATAATTGCAACTAATAATTACTGATCACCGTTGATGTTTACACTTATATAAACTTATTTTAAGAGCACGCAGTCGAACAAAATGTTTTAAATAAATCAAATTTAATCATTACAATTTATATTACAGATATATTTAATCCTTACAGGTATATGCTCATTAGAATGATATTAATAGCAATTCGCATTGGTATGATGTTAGTGCAAGCAAAAACTTTTATTGGAAACAAAATAACTGTAAAACTTATCTGAATCTCGATTCCTTCTGATTAGAGAGCCAATTCTCTGGTAAAATAGACCATAACATAGGGTTGTTATGGCAACGCCAAGTTATGCTTCTTTCTTGGTACTAAAAACAGTCTTAATGTTATGCATTTACTGTGTACTCATGCGTTTTACACATAAAATTTAGTCTAGAAACGCACAAATATCTGAAAAACTGTTATCATAACTGCATCATTTTGATGTGTCTTAATAACACATGCGGAAAGTAAAATTTTATGTATAAAAGCCCTGACTGCACAGCAAATACATACTATTTTGACTGCTTTTAGTATTTACTAAGAAAGGAGCATAACATAGCGTTGTTTTATTTATTTTATTTATTTATTTATTTATTTATTCACAAGCAAGCTGTAATCAATAATAATAGATATTTATGATCGGTTATGGTTTATTATGGAGATTAGGCCCCCAAATCGAGTCACCCAAAAAGTTCGTGCAACTTGCCTTACGGTAAAATGCCACTTACATCTCGTAAATTCTAATTCCCAATATTTATACAAATGCCATAAATCGATGAATTTGTATAGTATTCTTTAGTAAATAGTGATCAGAATGTTTGTTCTGATACATAGCATTACATAGCATTTGGACTGTTTTTACTACCAAGAAAAGAGCAGATAATTGGCTCCTTAATCAGAAACCACTTTTTAGCTACTTGTTTCCAAAAAAAAGGTTTTTGCTTGCACAAAAATCTAATCATTGCGATTTCAAATTGACAGCATTCCAAGAGCTATTTTGGGTAACGCATATTTAAAGAACTTTTTTACCGTCAGAAGAATCTCAAGATCTACAAGCCTTAAATAAACTATACTGTATTACTGTATTTTACTGTAATTAATTCAATTTATATAATTATATAAATTCAAATAAAATAAAAGTCTAAAGATAACTTTAAAAATGTATATGGCTAATGTACGTGTATACAAAGTAAACAAATGAACAATAAAAAAAATCAATCAAGATGATTTATTTTCTGTGATTACTAAATTCTATCCTGTATCCGAAATATAAATATAAATTAGAGTGAAAAAAAATTCTTTGTTCAAGTAAATACTCACATATACGAACACAGAAATTCATAAGTATATGGCATAAAATTGATATAAAATTGAAATGTCATAATTAATAAATAAAAATACACTCACCAAATATCCGTCGTACGTCCACGATCCGAATTTCATGAAACACGTTTGCTCATCGAACGGGAAGTACTCGACGTCGATCTCACAAAAGGATTTGTAAATGGCAGGCGGCTTCCATACCACTTTGCCGGTGTGATGCAGAATCGCCTTCGTCATGATAGTCACCTCGTAATTACCGTCGGCACTGCGGGAAATCGAATCAAAATCACTTATATAACGTTTCGACCTATAGCTTCTCGGAAAAGTGACAAATACATCGCTTCTTATCAAGGATTTCCACGATAAAGTGCGACATCGGATAAAACATTGAATTTTGATGCGGATTTTAATCTAATGTAATGTTTCATCTATCTGCTGCATCAGCGCATTTTTGTATATGGGGAAGTCAGTTGCTTTATAAATAGGACGTGGTTTATATTTACTTCTTAGGGATACGAGATATACAAATTAAACTTCATAAGAGATTAATTAATAGTAATAACAATTTAAATATTAATAATCTAAATAAATATTTTATATTATAGATAAAGTAGGACTATACACACGGAGCCTAAAGGTCCGTGGATAAAACTGTCCACCATAATCTCAAAAACAAGCAAAGTTTAAATTTTTTTAGTGATACTATTTTAAACTAGAAGTTAACTCAAGGCTTTGATACATCCTTCAGTTAGATATATTGCTTTAAATTCAGTTTAGAATCTAAAATTTTTGTGTAGGTAGATTGTACTTAATAAAAAAAAAATTAATGAACCGGTTCTGCCGCACAACAGACCGATGGCTGTGTTATAACTTTCTATACTAAATATTGAAAAAAACATGTGGTTGCTGTGCAGTCAGGCGTTTTTCTATGATTGTCAGATAAAAAAACCTAACCCAGATACCGCACAAACGTCAAAAAACAATCATGCATAACAGGGTCTTTTTGACCAAACTCCATAACACACGAGTGAGGTTGCAGCATATCTATCGAAAGTTTTACTATGATTTTTTACAAACCGCACCTCAACCAGACATAGATATTTTAGAATCGTCTGAATTTTTTTTATACAGATATTATGCTTATAATCAAATGACACGCATTTCAGAATTTTGCTATAAAAGTTTTTTTTACGCAAATATTCACGATTGAAATATGGATTTTTGCTCAACTTCTACGAACATAATCTGCGCTGTATTAAATTAATTATATCGTGCTTTTTTATCACACTTATATTGAAGTAATCTTTATAATAATTTGAATAAAAAAATATTTTTGCAATTTTTTTTTAATAACAACCCTTAAATGTTTACAAAGGTTTCATCTATCCTTACCCCAACTTGAATCGATTGAAAAAAAAAACATATTTTTTTATGTTTCTCTGCTATAAAATTATTTTTGCAATTTGTTGGAGATTCTGTTATATCGAAAAATATTAAATAATTTTGAGAACAAGTCGCGCTTTCTACGTTATGGACTTCAGACAGTTGTACTCATTTATCACTTTCAAATGCCCATTTTATTGTTCGTCGCTTGTAAAATATTTTATAATTTCATTTCTGGGGAAAAATATAATATAGTTGAAAAAAAATTAATAGGGGAGACCAGGGCTTAAAAGACAGCGGGAAAAAAGGTCCACTATCAATATTTTAAAGTAAAGTTAGAAACTTTTTAACAACTATATTTGAAAGTAGAGAGTTTTGTAGTTAGATTCAGCCGATTTAGCAACATCATGAAATACGTGTTAAATGATTTTATATATAATATCTGTAGAAAAAGTTTCAGACAATTCTGAAATGTGACATTTTATTTTGCCCAAAATCCGTGCGATTTGTAAAATAATGACTCATATATATTCTTCCTAATTACGATTCATCGCTATAATTTCCATTATGAACAATATTGATAGATTACTTAATTTAAATTTTTATCATTCATGATATCATTATGCTAAAACTTAAGTTTTTGGATATTCTAAACAGAAGCGAAATATTCCAATGTTTTTTTATAACAGTTTCTATTTACTTTATCTATTACAGATTTTACTTTGGTAGTTGGGATATTTCCGGATTCCTACTAAACTACGGATAAAATTTGAGGTAATTCCCATTATACGTTGCTATAATCGACTATTAATTTATATATTATTTATTAATAAGTAAATTTATTATAAGAAAAGGTGCAACTCTTTATCTTATTTTTAGTAGACATAGTCTTTAATTATTCTTTTATACATTAACTTAAATAAATAGGCCAAAAAGCTAAAATTGACAAAAAGAAAAACGAAATGGACCTATTGACCAACGACGAAAAAACCAAACGACTTGTCACATTTGACTCGAATGATGTAATAACATTATTTATTTATGAATCTGTAAAATATATTGTATAAAAGTATCTTTCGATATAAAGTAACTTCAAAATATTATTCAAGATATTGCTATAATATCGAATATTCAATAATTATTAAAATCAATTCCAACAAAGATCCCAGTTTGTTACATGAAAAGTATACACAATAATTTAGGAGTTGCCTTATTTAACATCACGACTTTTGAATCTGTTTACATGAAGTTTAAAAATTGAAAATTGTTTGCACTGCATAATGAAAGGATGAATAAAGTAAACACCAACAAAGAGAATGAATATTGATTTTCATCTTGAATTAAAATGAATTACAAAAGTAAAGTACCAGTTTCAAACGATAATATTGGTTTTTAAATTATCCGTGAATTAATTAATTTCTTTGAACATCGAAGATAATTGCTAAAATTGAAAATGATTGATAACTAGGGATACTTACTTATTATAAAGAACTATATCTGGCAGCCAAATGTGTTCAGATGGAACATGGAGAGTGTCAACACCTCCGTAGTCATCTGGATTCCATTTTAACTTATAATCATTCCATTCCTGTAAAAATAAAAACCAGGGAATTAATATATTCAATTTATAAATAAGTTTAATCAGAGGTATTTTAGAAATACTTACTTGTTCAACCCAAACGTTAGTGGTCATAATTTGATTTTTCAAATTCTGAAATAAAAAAAAACAGTATTACTTATTATATCTATTAACTTATTATAATGTGGTATTAAAAAATTAGACAAACTTTCAACGCGAGGGCTTTAAATTAATAGATGTCACTATAGTATTTTTAACATACACTTATATTGATTTATGTTTATTATGATGTTGTCACAAAAATATAGAAAAACTTACAACGTCGAGGGTTTGTTGAAATGTTGAAGAGTAAATTAATGCTCATTGATGGAGATTGATATTAATAGATGTCATTTTAGTATTTTTTACATATACTTACATTAAATTATGTTCATTATACAATGTGGAATCAAAAATATAGAAAAACTTTCAACCTGACGGTTTGTTGAGTTTTTAATGTATAAATTAAAGTTCTTTGGTGGAGACATCGATATTAATAGATTCACATACATTTATGTTAAATTAAGTTCATTATTTATAAAATGGCTATAATAACCATTATTTTATATTTTAAAATTACATTTTACAACTACTTGTATATAGCAATCATTCTGTATTCTGAAAATATGAAACTGTGCTAAAAATAGTCAGTCAATTGAACAATTAATAAGATCCATTTCAATGTTAAAGAATTGTGACAATCAACCCCGTCAATATGTCAAAGTTTTTTAATGCGTTTCTTCTCAAATTCAGAAAATGAGAGCTTGTCTGATAAAAAGTCACATCGATGAAATATTTCATAACGTTTCCAATAATGAGAAAAAGGGAGCAATTAATTCTACTTTGTCCAGAGAACTTAGTTTAAAATATTTTATAAAGGTCAAATAAAAAATATTATTCATTTCATTTTAACGTTATTTCTTTATTGGTCAATTGAAAAAAATGGATATAATATAGTATTTACCACTACGAAGAAAAAATCCGGTTGAATCCATAATCAAAAATCGATTAATCCGTACTCATAAAATCGTAGACGAATAATTATATCCAGACGTACATACATGCATACATACACACTAATTCACGCATATTTTCTATGGTGTGCCAAAATATATAAATATATACAAAAATTTTCATTTATCTTATTTTTGTGATTACTAATGTTAATATTAGTTACTAAAAATATGATTTAATAAAATACCAATAAATTGACTATTTTTATTTAATAATCAAGCCGTTTCTTTGAAATTGACAGTTAAATTCTTTATTCTATCAGAAGATATTATTTCGAAATTATGTGTTCAGGTTTCTTTCAGAAGGTCTATAAAAAACAGTTCCATAATTTTACATAGACAGTTTGAACAAATTCAATTCAATTTCAAGTTTTATTGATCGACACAACCATTTCTGAATATAAGAAAATCCATGCACTTCCCTTCAGGTAAAATGCCACTCACACCCAGTTGTGATCTTTTTTGATATATTTTATAGAATTATCGTTATATATCGAGTTTCATACGCGACATTTATTTTAAAGACGTTTGAAAAGATTGTAAAAGATTTCACAGAATTCAAATAACGCGTTTCAATAAAATATAAAAGAAGTAAACAACTATATATACAGCTCGATAAATTTGTACCGTGGATGAAACACATTCGTAAGCCGCTTAGCCTTGATAAATGATATTCACACAGATAAGTGAAACGAAATAGAATTTCCACGAGCATTTGAATAGGGCAGATCAGAGACGAGACATTGAATGGCCACTTAAAGAAAATATCGAAACGTTGGCTGCCGATGCCGAGGACCCACGCTCGAATAGAGACGCGCTGTTTGCTTCTGAATATTTCATGCCGAGATAAAAAAAATCGAATGTTGTGGCCATGATGTGTCATCAATCAAGTGTTCTAGACTTGCAAAAAATTCTATCAGACGGCTGGCCACTTCGCACGGCACCACCACCACCGCCAGTATGTAGGAAACCAATTACATTCATTGCCCAATTGTACCTATCTTTGCAAATTCATTCTTTTTGCCGACGATACAAGTTTAATTATTAAAGGAAAATTCAACTCTAATAACCTTCTACTTAATAACGATAAAACTAAAATAATGTCGTTTCGAACAGTCAATAGGATTAATAACGAAATCAATTTCCTAATTATTAACGATGTTCTCTTCAATTTTTCTGCTGTTTCTAAATTCCTAGGAATTCAAATTCAAAAAAATTTAAATTGGGATGATCATATTTATTCGTCATTAATACCTAAACTTTCCAGAACTTGTTTCATGTTAAGAGTGCTTAAATCTAAAATTAGTTTAAATTGTCTTCTTTCTATCTCCAACTTTTACTCGCATTTGGTCTACAGCATTCGATTTTGGGGTTTTTCAGCATCCTTAAAACATGTTTTCAAACTTCAGAAAAGAGCGCTAAGAATCATGTTCTCTCTTAACTCGATGACAAGTTGTAGAAATATTTTTCAGAAGTATAACATTCTTACCGTTCCTAACATATTCCTACTTATTACACTTCTCTTCATAAAATAATTATATTTTATGGGGATTACCCCAGTACTTTAATTTATCTTCCATGTCTGATTCCCACTATGTCACAAGAAATAGAACTATCAAAGGATCGACTTTTAAGCTTAATAGTACTTTTAATTCAATTGATGGTTTTGGTATTCAACTGTTCAATTTATTACCTTTACAAATACGTCAACTAAACAATTATAAATTCCACAACGTTTTGATTAATTTACTAAAAGCCAACAGTTTTTATGACATTTCTGAATATATTAATTTTGACTTCAAGAAATACAGTGGCACCATCCCCTTTATATTATAAATATCTATTGTTACTAATTATATTAGGTTGTCAAATATCTCCCTTCCGCCTTTTTGTATTATAAACCAAGAGCAAAAAAGCGGAAGGGAGATATTTGACAACCTAATATGTGATATCTTACAAAAACAGAAATTTTTTTCTATAACTGAGTATTACTTAGCTGTGAATTATTTTTTTTTGTCACTGATACTGCCCTTCTTTCAGAAAAGCTTCTAAACTTTTTAATAATTTCTGCAAATTAATGGATAAACAAGACCTCAACTTTTGAAGATGCTCTAAACGAAGACGTGATATCAAGTTTCATAAAAGCAAGACATAAGATTAAATTAGTTTAGCACTCCTTTATTCGTATTTTATATTTGGTTGTTTTGTTATTTAATTGTAAAATTGTGAATTGTACATCTAATACATCTAATAGAGACGCGCTGTTTGCTTCTGAATATTTCTTGCCGAGATAAAAAAAAATCGAATGTTGTAGCCGTGATGTGTCATCAATCAAGTGTTCTAGACTTGCAAAAAATTCTATCGGACGGCTGGCCACTTCGCACGGCACCACCACCACCGCCAGTATGTAGGAAACCAATTACATTCATTGCCCAATTCACGCCGGATCACGTTCTGTTGATCTTCCACGCTGTTATGGCTTTGTAACTAATATATTAATATGGTTGTTAAGTTCTAGTTTTATGATCAATAAATTTAATGGCTTGATCCGACAATTCTATAATGGCTGAACACTATATGCAAATTAATATCTGAATTTAGTAATTCGGGTGGATTATCGCGGAATCAGAACCTATCTCGTTTGTGATGTGATCACTTGCTCTAAAAATACATGTAAAAATTTAATAGCTGTATGGAATCCCATTACCCACATAAATGTAATAAGTCATAGTATGCAAACATATTAAAGAAAAACGTCACTATTAAGAACATGATAGTACAATAATCATATAATAGAAACCATACAAATTTTGTTTTAATGCGGAATATAACAGCAACTTATAATAAATCCATAGACCTTATATTACGTATTTCAGTAAAAAGTCTATGTTTAAACCTTCTCTTACTTTTTACTGAAAAAACAATATACTGGATAATAAAAAAATAAAATTTTACGTCATAGTTAATAATTAATCAAAACTCCACCAAACACTTGATTATTGCAATAAAATTGATCGAAAACACCAGACATGATTTAATTGAAATAATTACGAATATCAACAAATAGGTTCGTAATTGAACTGATTACTGCGACAATTTTTAAATAAAACCACTGCGTAATTTTATCCATATATACAATTTGTTCGTATTTTCTTTCCCTATAATCAAATTGAATTACGGTTTAAAAATCAATTTTAATTTTACACAATTTCAAGTAAAAATAATGGTATTGATCTTTAGATTATAGTTTTTTAATAGTTTGATAAACAATTTTAATTACAGATTATTTAGTAGTTTAATAATAATTATAAATGTGTGCATAATATTAGGGGGAAGTTCCGTAACGCCGGACGGCACCAAGGACCGGACACTCTACTTAACACATATTATTTAAGCGAGTATAAATCTTTTCATTTCAAAATACAATAGGAAAAGGGCGCGGAGGGCACACACAGGCGCCAGGACTCAACTGTGACGCACACGGCCACGGCGGTAGCAACCCTTTGCTGTTTTAGGCGCGAAATCACGGCGTCACCTAAATATCAATGGAAGTAATTTTAGCAAATTTATGCATTTACATTTGAGTAGTATGCAAAGATAAAAGTTGTACTTGATTGTTGTCCGTAAAATGGTAGAATACCATTAGATCTTTTGACCAATTTTAGTAGGTGCCATCAAATGAACGAAAATGTCTGTCCCTTAGCACCGGACACTGAGTCGTTCTTTAGTGCCGGACAGTAAACATATTGATATTTCTTGTAAGAATTTACATAATTTATTCCAGTTATTTAATTTTGTTCTGTATGAGTGCTAACGGTCACTACATACCCCCATTTTTCGTATTTCCTAGTCAACGAATGAAAAGCTTATGGTAAATGCACCAGCTGAGAGCATCGGTGTGGCCCAGCCAAAACGGTTGTATGAATAGTGACTTTTTTTGCAATATCTAAGAATATTCGTCAAAGACACATGTGCAGGCATTACAGAGTGTGGGTATGGCTTCATATGTGATCAATGCAGGTTATTTTGAAATGTCCGGTACTAGGTGCCACTGTTTTAAATCATATTTTTTGATAGCAAAGTTTGATTGATAGTATTAATTATTTGTTAGCAAAGATTGCGGTTTTGTTAATTTCGTTTGATTTCTAACTTTGTTATCTAACATAAATCATAACTTGAAAAACATTTCGTAAAATATTTTTTGATTTATTTATAAATAACCTTAGGCGTCCGCCACTTGGGTACTTCCCCTTATTTGTACAAAATAATAAATTAATTATATCAAACTATAAAATTCAATTATAATAAAATCTTCAATAATTAATAACATATTTTTCATAGATTCTCAATAAATTATAATAAAATAATTTTAATCTTACGTAAGGTGACTATATTTTTTAAGGCAAAATCAGGACGGCAATTTTTGTGAGCTAATCCGACTCGGTGGGGGGGGGCGTCTGCTTAATATCTTAAACATAATTTTAAAATACATTTTAAAGATTCAATTTGAACCTATACAACTATAATTTTCGCAAATCCGAGACAATCCAGGACAAAAGATCTAAATCCGGGACAAATATTGCTCTTAGAAAAAAAGTGGAAATCCGGGTCTGTCCCGGCCTCACCGGGATGTATGGTCACCTTAATCTTAAGATAAAACAGTAAATTTTTAATTGTTTAGATAATTATACAATTTATTATAATTGTACTTATTAACTTCTCGTAGGGTAAGTTATAGTAATCGCAAAACAGTCAAAAATGGAAATATTTGCATATCTTTACGTTACAAAGTTTCTGAACATTTTGGCATATTTTACAAAAAATGAATGCATGAATGTGTGTATGTGTATAGTATTTATGTATATGTGGATACAATTTTTCGTCCGCGATTTTGAGAGCACGTATCAATCGATTTGAATGATTCAAAAAACATTCGATTCCAAATGATGAGACGTGCTGATCAGGAAAGGCAGGTTCTAGTAGTTCGAAAATACGGTGAAAAAGTTTGAAAAATGGCAATTTAATTAAAAAAACATTTCATTTGTATCAACGTACTGAAAAATTGATTAAACTTTTATAAAGGGAGAGAGGTCCTGCGGTTTCGGAGATTCTGAAGAAAAAGTTAAAAAAATGCCATTTTTCAGTTGAAATAATATTTATTATTATTGATTGCAGATTGCTCATGAATAAATTATTAAAGGTTTATTTAATTCAATATACAAATGTTTTTAAAATTTTCAAAAATGTTCAAAAAAATTTAAGATTCTTAATCAAATTTTTTAATTGAACTTTTAAAGATTTTAAATCATGGTATGAAAAGTATAGCAATTTGCCTTATATATGTTATAAATAATTTCAAGTGTACGAAGAGTATAGCTATGGTGCAATAAAATACGAGCCCTATATATACTACATATATCAGATAGCCGTTGTTTATAGGAAATCCTATTTTCCGTGTAATGTCGGTCATGTGGTACCTTGTACCAGCTTAAAGTTTAAATCGCCCTCATCCGAATTTGTCTCGTGTGTGCATGTCTCGATTGTTATGTGTCCGCCGCATTTGCATTCCGTTGCGTCCAGCGCAATACATTAGCGGTTATGGTAGAAATCTTGCCGTTACTCACCACATCAATCAGTTGGGATAGCCTCAGACCCATCTTGACAGTGAGTCGATCGGAGTTATTGCCGACGGGACGTATCAATCGATTATAATTGGAGAGGAGATCATCGTACAGACGCTTCGCCTCAGGGTTCGCCATCCCACCACAAGACGCCATTGCCAATGTTGCCACGAGCGCCAGTAACAGGCTCTCCATCTTATACCGAATCCACCACTGGAAACAGACCAGAATGTTAAACATTGCGGATGACAGGAATATATTATTACATGCACTCGAGTGTGAGATAGAGATCTTTTGACACCTTGAGGCAGGTTGGGGATGTTGATGGAAAAAATCGATTTTGGGGACTATGTGTGGGAAATAAAGTAAAATGTTTAGGAGCTTTTGAGGTTTCTTACTATTATATAGAATTAGCAAAAAAGAGAAGAAAAAGAAAGAGAAGAAAAAGAAGAAAAAGAAAGAGAAGGAAAAGAGAAGAAAAAGGAAGAGAAGAAAAAGAAAGAGAAGAGAAAGAGAAGAAAGAAAAAAAGAAGAGAAAGAGAAGAAAGAAAAAAAGCAAGAGAAGAAAAAGAAAGGGAAGAAGAAGTAAAGGAGAAGTAAAGGAGAAGATTGATGAATGATAATATGATTTGAATATAACATGCGCACATATGCTTTTAAGAGACAAAAATTGATGCACTCATATTTCTTCTTATTATTAATTAATTCACACAAATACATACACTATATTTCATATTTATGGAATTTTTATTTTATATATATATATACACATACAGTTATAAATTACCCATATGTTAATTGGACATAATATTAATAAAAAAAGAGAATTTATTTAAAAATTTATTCAAAAACCATACGTTCTTGCTTTAGTCCTATCCTTCATTCAGAAGAACTAAAATTGATATACAAAACTAAAATATATGACAATAATCTATTTAATAATCTAAACTAAAGTATTGTTTTTTCTGTTCACAATAATTCAAGGTAATAATAATTTTTGTTTCACTGAATGAAAATGATATGATTATATTCAAAACGTATGGATTTTAGAATAATTTAAAAAAATCATGCTTTTTCATTGATATGCCCGATTTTTAGACTGCTTTAATACATATCTCAACATCTTTAAATTTCATTTATATTCTTACGATTTAGTAAATATGATTATATATAAATATATATGTATATATATATATATATATATATATAATCGTATTTACTCTACCTACGTTCAAGATATAAAATAAATTTTATTATTTGTTTTATATCCTTGAATGAATCTCAGCGTCGTACAAATGTAGTAAACATCATTTATGTTCTAAAAATCTAATAGTTTTGATTTGACTTCGTGAATCAATTGCTAACATATTGAATTTAATTTTAATATTTATATAAAATTTGTACGTACGTAAACACTTGTACGTATAAATATAGGCATGTATTTGATATGCCTTTGCACAAACATTTTAGAGAAGGTTCTTTTCGTACGTTAGATTTTTTAAGTTTTATTTTTCTAATTCTTAGTTTGTTAAATGAAAAAGTTATTGCGCTTAAACATGAAAATATATTACAGCTTCTTGAGGATAAAATTAGTTCAAATATTCAAAGCTAATGAGATCATTTTAATCGCAATAAATAAAGGTCAATCCCTACTAAGCAGTTTAACTCATACTAAATTGATTTTTTCGAACTATACAGGAAATATTTGTTCTGAAAACATAACTTTAAAATTACTAGTGTAGGAATCAGCACTATATATGTATACAAGTATCCCAGGCCTCAAGCCCAAACGAGATGATAGTATCAAGCTTATTGTCTTGAAAAAAAAAATAGGAAAAAAATATCTCGCGTTGTTTGGAAATTATGAGCTTTTAAGAGCAACCCAGAGCTTTCGTGTAATTATGACTTCTTCTCGGTTACTGTGGTCAATTTTTATTAATTTTGTGCATTTGAACTTTGGAATCGTACTCAAGACTAACATATCTAAGACTATAGTCAAAAACTATAACACAATTGCTTCAAGTTTTTAAGAATTAAGATGAAATTAAGTTGAACTATAAAAATTAAGTTTTAAAACCGGTCAACTTTGAGAGAGACTCTTTTAAAAAAAAAACTCTATATTGAAATTTAAAAAAATTAACTCTGTATATGTGCGAAGTTGTCTTGAATACTTCAATTGCCCAGAAAACAAATATAGAAAAAAAAACAATTATCTCACGCTGTTCGGAAATTATGAGCTTTCAAGTGCAACCCTGAGCTTTCGTGAAATTATGATCATTTTTTGGTTGTTGTGGTTATTTTTTGTTAATTTTGTTTATTTGAAGTTTCAGTTTCTTTTGTTCACGTATGCCTCATGTTTTCAAGAATTAAGACAGTTTCTTAAACTATCAATTTCAAAATATTAATATTTATCGACTTTGAGAGGCCCTCCTTTATATTGTAGTGTGTAAACAATAAGTTTTATCAAAAGTTGGCGCATTTAATCAGGACCCTAAAATGATAAAATACTTGATAATTTTATTTTTGAAAAATTTCAAGAAAAACGATCCTTTAACCTCAATCCGCCCATGGGGTAAAATAGACCAGGCAACAACATTTTGAAAAATAGCAAAAAAAAAAAAAACTACAATGATGAATTAGCTGGGTGTTGTACTGAACATAGTCAGGTAGTTGCTTGTTTGATATGTGTTTTTGTTGTGATATAATTGGTTAGGTATTTATAGTATAATTGCTCAAAGTTAAGTTTGATCTATATGCCTTTTTTTAATTATTTTGTAGTTTGTACGGTGTGTTTCTATTTTCAAGTAAGATTCAAATTTTTTTCTGTGTAATCTCTATATTAGCTGACATGAGGTTGCAATAAAAAAACACTTAAATCTGTACACTTTCTGTCAAGGTGTAAACATAAGAAAAAACCATTTAACAAGAGCTAAATTAAATTATTAGTTATTCTCTGTGGTGATTTCTTGTAACAAAATTTCATACGAAAGGGATATGCAGAACATAAGTAATGCGTTAAAAGTAAAAATAAAACTATTTTTAATAAAACAAAATACGTTACTCCTTTCTTTGTATCGACCTAAATTCAGATCAATTTGTTATGATGAGAAACAGCTTCATATATTCTCTTATGCTTTATTGTATTTTTTTCTTTAAATTTAATTTAACCATGTTCTCTAAAATGTAAGCTAGCACTCATCTATATAAAATTCTGTGTGGATGCAACTTCTAACCGAGACCGAGATGGATCGTATTGGGATGAGTATTCCACCGAGTCTAGATTTATTGCAATGCAGCAAATGAAAATATACGGAAATATATTACATTAAACTTGTGCATATGTTATATTCAAATTGCTTTTAAATTTATGAAAATATGTACTTTCGTGTTTTATTACGCATCTACCTGACGACAAATAAACTTGTCATCAAAATCGCACGATAAATATTTTATTAACATTTGGTAAATATTCTATTCTGACCCGTTAATTTTCATCTACAATTATATTCTTATTTTATTGGTTCTAATAAAATCGAGTTGTTTACCGCTTGTTGTGATCGTTAGTCATATCTGTCGAGGCTTTTAAATAATACATAAAATCGCAATGAAAATTGATGACTTTGCTGGATGTGAAGAGGTTTTTGGACACGCTCTGGCTTATGTGAGACAAGAATGAAAATATCATACAGAACATGAAAAATGGTAAATGTTCGATTTATATTCAGGATGATATCGACATAAAACTTTGTAGCGAAGCTATTGAGAATCAGAATAAATATTACAAAATTATTGATAAAGGAATCTGATTTATTGAACATACATATGCACTTGAAAAGCTATACATATATACATACATTTTTATACTTATATATGTACATCTGCAACTATAGATAAAAAATACAAGTAAATAAGGTTTTTAGAAACCGATTGATTTTTTTTTATTTATCAAACGAAATGAAATATCTCTTCAATATATATATATATATATATATATATATATATATATATATTAATTCATATTTTCGTTCTTAATTATTTACTAATTTGCTTTTTACTTTACACGTTCGCGGACATAAGTTTTAACAGGGTACAAAAATTGTCAGTAATTTTATTTTTGAATTAGTTGTAATATCCGAAATTTGATTAAACACAGATTATAAGGGTAGTTAAATTATATTCTAATCGACAATGAATGGTATAGCATCCACGTCAATTATTCCGTTTCTATTTTGGGAGATGTGCTTGCCCAAACTAATTAATGACTATGGGAAAAGATAAGATAATACGAAAATATGTACCTAAAGAATTATAGTTTTATATAGCTCGATTTATAGTTTAGTTATCACCTTGACAGGTATAATAATTATAAAACCGTAAAATTATATAAAATTGAATTCAAAATAATTGACTCTAAAATTTAAATGCTATAGCATTTATGTCATTCTGCATCACGCAAACGTGTTAATTTAGACACAACTTTTATTTTTCATTCCATTTATTAAATTTTAGTTTTTTTTATTGCTTTCAAATGATCTTTCAAATCCTAAATTTTAAAAAGAAAATTGTTAAACAATTTTCGAGTAGTAAATAGTACTAGATATTTTAAGACATAATTACCTAAAAAAATATTAAGTTAATATTTAAATAAATTGCAATTTCTATAGTTTAAATAAAACTACCATATCATGAAGATAGTTTTCTATTTCATGTAATGTTTAAAATAAAAATAAGAAAATAATCCGCAGAATAAATGTTTTATTAAATTTGAGAAATCGATAAATGAACAATAATATTAAAATTATCAAATATCATTTATAAATATATATATATATATATATATATATATATATCATACAATCATCAATAATTCCGTTACATTCTATTTACAAAGAAACAAATATATTTCCGCAAATCTCGGAAACTTTCTTGGACGTAGGTCAAAACCAGAAAATGCAATTATATTATATCAAGTCAGCATTTTTATATTTAAAGAAAATGATATTACTTGATCTTTCACATTTCTGCAACTAAGAATTGATATTTTTCTATGCTACTAAATCTATTTTTTCAATTTATAAATAGATAATGGAAAACTGTAGGCTAAATTTAATTGTTAGAATGTATAAAGAACAATAACAGAGAGAAGTTAATATAATTTTTTTAAATTGGACTTTTTTTAATAATTTGTTATTTTATAAGACAGCTAT